TGTGAACTAGTTATAGTCAGATATATAGAGATTAGAAACGCATGTGCAAACATCTTGATGTCAATTGCATTGAAAATGAATTTTTCTATATGAAACTGTGTATTTTAATAATGAAATGGAGATCTTTTTTAAAGGTCAAAACCTCATTCAATTTTATGTCTTATAGGGTTTATGCCAAGTACAATATTGAGTAACTATTAATTCAACTGTAAACCTAAAAACTTATAGCCAATTTTGAAAGAGATGCATCTTAGCTCTGGAAATTGTTATTGACTATGTCAATGCTGTTGCAATGAAATACTTCTTCTAATTATGTAGTTATTAAATAAGTAATTTTTTAAAAAAGAAAAAATATTTATTTATATTTATATTTATTTATATTTATTTTATGTGTGAGTGTGTAGTCTGCATGTATGTAAGCACACCCATGTTGTGCAATGCCTGCAGAAGTCAGAAGAAGGCACTAGATTCCCCTGGAACCAGAGTTACGGATGGTTGTTAGCCACCGTGTGGGTGCTAGGGATTGAACCCGGGTCCTCTGCAAGAGCAGACAGTGCTCTTAACTGCTGAGCCATCTTTAAAGCCCCAGGGTTGTGATCTTAATGAAGCAACCACACGAACAACAAAAGCAACAAGAAGTCAAAATGTGTGCGTGTCCCCGCTCAGAGAGGCTCTTTTTGAACATTTGGTCTAAAGCAGCATTCCCTTTACTCTGATTAATTTCCTTCACAGCATTTACCACTAGTAAATAATAGTCATCTAAGCCGGGCGTGGCGGTGCACGCCCTTAATCCCTGCACTCGGGAGGCAGAGGCAGGCAGATCTCTGTGAGTTCAAGGCCAGCCTGGTCTACATAGTGAGTTCCAGGACAGCTGGGGCTACAGGGAGACCCTGTCTCAAAAAGACCCCCCCCAAAAAATAATAATATTAGTCATCTATTTATCCTCATGTGCCCCATTATAAAGAAAGCTCCTTGTTGGGCATGGTGGCACACACCTGTAATCCTAGCACTCAGGAGGCTGAGGCAAGTGGATGGGGGTTTGAGTCCAACGTGGGTGACACAGCAAGATCTTGTCTCAAAAACAAACAAAAAATTTTCTCTGTGTTTCCAGGCTGGTCTTGAATTACAGGTTTATGTAATCCTCTTACCTCAGCTGCTGAATGCTGGGACTACATCCATGGGCCACGGTCCCAACAGCAACTTTCTTGTGTTCACTGTTATGTACTCAACACCTAAAATAGTCCCTGGCCCATTGTATGACCTCAACAAATGCTATGGAGCAAATGAATGAGTGATAGGGAGAGCTAATAATACACATGTCCTAAAGCAATGGTATACATTGCACTTGCTCTAAGGAATGGGATCTCAATGGAGAAGTCAGAGCATGCTTCCTGAAAGGTGCCAGGTTGAGAATCAACACTGTCCTGTCAACCAAACATGGACTCTCATGGGTAAGACCACACTATTTCATCTACATCCCTGGTGCCTAGTACAGGTTGTGGAACATAGTAAGAACTCAGTATCTATTTCTTGAATAAGTGAAGAGATCTAGATTTGAGTTGGGAAAGGCAAAACTAAATTCTGTAGTGTAGATGAAGAGGTGCCCATGGTGCCTGAACCCAGACCCAAGGTGAATGCATGGGCTGTGTGCTTTCCTCATTCCAGGTCCTACCTGAGCCTTCACTGGCCATTTCTGCCCCCCACCTGGCCCTGTCAGCCTTAAATTCTATCTGCTGCACTGTGAAGACCCTGGGAGCTGCCAAGGGTATCTGTGGTAAGAAGGCAGGAATTGTCCCACCTTACCTGTTGGTTGTCGGGACCTTGCTTCTTTCAGGTAGTAGAGTGCTTTGTCATAGTCCCCAAGATGGTAGAAGGCCACACCAGACCGGTAAAGGGCCTTGAAGTTCTCTCCTTCCTTCTTCAGGACCTTCAGGCAATATTCCTTGACTCTCTCATAGTTTACCAGCTCGGCCTGGAGCAGACAGGCTGTGGAGGGAATAAAAATAAAGAGAAAATGCCATCAATGAAACAGGGGCAGGCTCAGGACACCTCTTGCCAGTTTGTACCACATGGGTTCCAGGATAGCAATGGGGTGGCCCAATATATTTGTAGATGACAATGTTGTCTTACAATGTTGGGCACCCCTGGCTCGTTTTTCCTTCCCAGAAGGCTTAGCAGCATTGAGGCTTTCCACTGAGGTTTGTGCCATGGAATCTGCCCTTTAATAATTCCTGGCTACATGACTAGTTTCATTGCTAACAAGCCTTGGTAACCTTAAGCAAGGCTTAACCTTGTATCATGGGTCAAAATTATGTCTCTCCTAAAAGATATATTGGTGTATTAACTGTCAATACTTGAGAATGTGGCCTCATTTAGAGACACAATGTCTTCCTAAGTAATCATGTTAAAGGAGGTCATTAGAGTAGGCCCCAAATTGAGGTGACAAGTGTTCTTATAAAAGGGGAACTAGGCACACGGAGAGGAAGGACAACTGGGAGAGGAATAAATAGAAGACAGTCAGCTATGACTGCAGTCAAGGAATGCCTAAGGCTCCCAGAAGCTAGAAGGAGAGTCCAGCTGGGCCAGGAGGTAGAATTCAGAAGCATGGAACAGATTGTCCCTCACAACCCTTCAGGGGAACCAACCTATCAACACCTTGTTTGGACTCCTAACCTCCATAAGACAACACATCTGTGTTACCTGATGCCACCCAGTTTGTGAGGCTTTGTTCCAGAAGTCCAAGAAA